TTAAAATTGAGTATTTTTCGTCAATAGCTCCCAGGTCATGTGACCTATTGACCCAAAATCAGTGTGAAATTGTTCTACTAGTCTCTGTAGATGGGGCACACTCATTTGTTTTTCATTCTAACTCTTTTTTTTATTTTTTAGCAATTTTTTAAGTTAAAATTGAGTATTTTTCGTCAATAGCTCCCAGGTCATGTGACCTATTGACCCAAAATCAGTGTGAAATTGTTCTACTAGTCTCTGTAGATGGGGCACACTCATTTGTTTTTCATTTTAACTCCTTTTTTTTTTTTTTTACCAATTTTTTTAGTTAAAATTGAGTATTTTTCGTCAATAGCTCCCAGGTCATGTGACCTATTGACCCAAAATCAGTGTGAAATTGTTCTACTAGTCTCTGTAGATGGGGCACACTCATTTGTTTTTCATTTTAACTCTTTTTTTATTTTTTAGCAATTTTTTAAGTTAAAATTGAGTATTTTTCGTCAATAGCTCCCAGGTCATGTGACCTATTGACCCAAAATCAGTGTGAAATTGTTCTACTAGTCTCTGTAGATGGGGCACACTCATTTGTTTTTCATTTTAACTCTTTTTTTATTTTTTACCAATTTTTTTAGTTAAAATTGAGTATTTTTCGTCAATAGCTCCCAGGTCATGTGACCTATTGACCCAAAATCAGTGTGAAATTGTTCTACTAGTCTCTGTAGATGGGGCACACTCATTTGTTTTTCATTTTAACTCCTTTTTTTTTTTTTTTTAGCAATTTTTTAAGTTAAAATTGAGTATTTTTCGTCAATAGCTCCCAGGTCATGTGACCTATTGACCCAAAATCAGTGTGAAATTGTTCTACTAGTCTCTGTAGATGGGGCACACTCATTTGTTTTTCATTTTAACTCTTTTTTTTATTTTTTAGCAATTTTTTAAGTTAAAATTGAGTATTTTTTGTCAATAGCTCCCAGGTCATGTGACCTATTGACCCAAAATCAGTGTGAAATTGTTCTACTAGTCTCTGTAGATGGGGCACACTCATTTGTTTTTCATTTTAACTCCTTTTTTTATTTTTTACCAATTTTTTTAGTTAAAATTGAGTATTTTTCGTCAATAGCTCCCAGGTCATGTGACCTATTGACCCAAAATCAGTGTGAAATTGTTCTACTAGTCTCTGTAGATGGGGCACACTCATTTGTTTTTCATTTTAACTCCTTTTTTTTTTATTTTTTAGCAATTTTTTAAGTTAAAATTGAGTATTTTTCGTCAATAGCTCCCAGGTCATGTGACCTATTGACCCAAAATCAGTGTGAAATTGTTCTACTAGTCTCTGTAGATGGGGCACACTCATTTGTTTTTCATTTTAACTCTTTTTTTTATTTTTTAGCAATTTTTTAAGTTAAAATTGAGTATTTTTCGTCAATAGCTCCCAGGTCATGTGACCTATTGACCCAAAATCAGTGTAAAATTGTTCTACTAGTCTCTGTAGATGGGGCACACTCATTTGTTTTTCATTTTAACTCCTTTTTTTATTTTTTACCAATTTTTTTAGTTAAAATTGAGTATTTTTCGTCAATAGCTCCCAGGTCATGTGACCTATTGACCCAAAATCAGTGTGAAATTGTTCTACTAGTCTCTGTAGATGGGGCACACTCATTTGTCTTTCATTTTAACTCTTTTTTTATTTTTTAGCAATTTTTTAAGTTAAAATTGAGTATTTTTCGTCAATAGCTCCCAGGTCATGTGACCTATTGACCCAAAATCAGTGTGAAATTGTTCTACTAGTCTCTGTAGATGGGGCACACTCATTTGTTTTTCATTTTAACTCCTTTTTTTTTTTTTTTTTACCAATTTTTTTAGTTAAAATTGAGTATTTTTCGTCAATAGCTCCCAGGTCATGTGACCTATTGACCCAAAATCAGTGTGAAATTGTTCTACTAGTCTCTGTAGATGGGGCACACTCATTTGTTTTTCATTTTAACTCCTTTTTTTTTTTTTTTTAGCAATTTTTTTAGTTAAAATTGAGTATTTTTCGTCAATAGCTCCCAGGTCATGTGACCTATTGACCCAAAATCAGTGTGAAATTGTTCTACTAGTCTCTGTAGATGGGGCACACTCATTTGTTTTTCATTTTAACTCTTTTTTTTATTTTTTAGCAATTTTTTAAGTTAAAATTGAGTATTTTTGGTCAATAGCTCCCAGGTCATGTGACCTATTGACCCAAAATCAGTGTGAAATTGTTCTACTAGTCTCTGTAGATGGGGCACACTCATTTGTTTTTCATTTTAACTCCTTTTTTTTTATTTTTTACCAATTTTTTTAGTTAAAATTGAGTATTTTTCGTCAATAGCTCCCAGGTCATGTGACCTATTGACCCAAAATCAGTGTGAAATTGTTCTACTAGTCTCTGTAGATGGGGCACACTCATTTGTTTTTCATTTTAACTCTTTTTTTTTATTTTTTAGCAATTTTTTAAGTTAAAATTGAGTATTTTTCTTCAATAGCTCCCAGGTCATGTGACCTATTGACCCAAAATCAGTGTGAAATTGTTCTACTAGTCTCTGTAGATGGGGCACACTCATTTGTTTTTCATTTTAACTCTTTTTTTTTATTTTTTAGCAATTTTTTAAGTTAAAATTGAGTATTTTTCGTCAATAGCTCCCAGGTCATGTGACCTATTGACCCAAAATCAGTGTGAAATTGTTCTACTAGTCTCTGTAGATGGGGCACACTCATTTGTTTTTCATTTTAACTCTTTTTTTATTTTTTACCAATTTTTTAAGTTAAAATTGAGTATTTTTCGTCAATAGCTCCCAGGTCATGTGACCTATTGACCCAAAATCAGTGTGAATTGTTGGGTCCCCCGTTACATGGGCCCACCACCCGTGACAGGGGCCATAAGGGTCGTATGCAATGTGTGCTGGCCGGGGGAGGGGACCCTGGTGGTCCGATCTTCGGCTGCAGAAGCTGGCTCTTGGGATGTGGAATGTCACCTCGCTGGTGGGAAGGGACCGGAGCTAGTGTGTGAGGCTGAGAGGTTCCGGCTAGAAATAGTCTGTCTCACCTCGACGTATGGTTCTGGTTCTGGAACCAGTCTCCTTGAGAGGGGCTGGACATACTTCCACTCTGGAGTTGCCCACAGTGAGAGGCGCTGGGCAGGAGTCGGCATACTTGTTGCCCCCCATCTCGGGCCTGTACGTTGGGGTTCATCCCGGTGAACGAGAGGGCTCCGTCTAAGGGTGGGGGGACAGGTTCTGACTGTTGTCTGTGCTAACGGGCCAAACAACAGTTCAGATTACCCACCCTTCTTGGAGTCCTTAGAGGGAGAACTGGAGGGTGCCCCTCCTGGGGACTCCCTTGTTCTGCTGGGAGACTTCAACGCTCACGTGGGCAATGACAGTGAGACCTGGAGGGGCATGGTTGGGAGGAATGGTCGCCCCGATCTGAACTCGAGTGGTGTTCTGTTGTTGGACCTCTGTGCTCGTCATGGATTGTCCATAACGAACACCATGTTCAAGCATAAGGGTGTCCATATGTGGTAAAAAATAAAAAAAGAGTTAAAATGCAAAACAAATGAGTGTGCCCCATCTACAGAGACTAGTAGAACAATATCCAAGTGATTTTGGGTCAATAGGTCACATGACCTGGGAGCTAATGAAGAAAAATACTCAATTTTAACTTAAAAATTGGTAAAAAATAAAAAAAGAGTTAAAATGAAAATCAAGTGAGTGTGCCCCATCTACAGAGACTAGTAGAACAATTTCCAAGTGATTTTGTGTCAATAGGTCACATGACCTGGGAGCTATTGACCAAAAATACTAAATTTTAACTTAAAAAATTGCTAAAAAAAAAAAAAAGAGTTAAAATGAAAAACAAATGAGTGTGCCCCATCTACAGAGACTAGTAGAACGATTTCACACTGATTTTGGGTCAATAGGTCACATGACCTGGGAGCTAATGAAGAAAAATACTCAATTTTAACTTAAAAATTGGTAAAAAATAAAAAAAGAGTTAAAATGAAAATCAAGTGAGTGTGCCCCATCTACAGAGACTAGTAGAACAATTTCCAAGTGATTTTGCGTCAATAGGTCACATGACCTGGGAGCTATTGACCAAAAATACTCAATTTTAACTTAAAAAATTGCTAAAAAATAAAAAAAGAGTTAAAATGAAAAACAAATAAGTGTGCCCCATCTACAGAGACTAGTAGAACAATTCCACACTGATTTTGGGTCAATAGGTCACATGACCTGGGAGCTATTGACGAAAAATACTCAATTTTAACTTAAAAAATTGGTAAAAAATAAAAAAAAAAGAGTTAAAATGAAAAATAAATAAGTGTGCCCCATCTACAGAGACTAGTAGAACAATTTCACACTGATTTTGGGTCAATAGGTCACATGACCTGGGAGCTATTGACGAAAAATACTCAATTTTAACTTAAAAAATTGGTAAAAAATAAAAAAAAACTATCTCAATATAATGAGATACTATCTCATTATATTGAGTTACTATCTCATTATAATGAGATAGTATCTCATTATATTGAGTTACTATCTCATTATATTGAGTTACTATCTCATTATATTGAGTTACTATCTCATTATAATGAGATACTATCTCATTATAATGAGATACTATCTCATTATATTGAGATACTATCTCATTATATTGAGATACTATCTCATTATAATGAGATACTATCTCATTATATTGAGATAGTTTTTTTTTTTTTTTTTTACAGAGTGGCGGAAACGGGCTTCCATAAATGAACGACACTCAACTATTGCTATATGAATGTTTTGAAGCATCTGTATAAATTTGGACATATTCATAGTTTGTCTAAATAAATTTGTACTGATATTCGATCTAACAGGTTTTCTTTTTTCCATTTCTCCAGGAAAGTAAAATCAGCCACACTCGTTTGTCTGTGGTACACTCTTCAGTTGTGTAATAAAGTTTTCCACAAAAAAAAAAAAAACACTTCCGTTTAAACCGGAAAAGGCGCCAAAATCAAAAAATTCCTCGCAGCGGTGAGAGAAGGTAAACAAACGAGCTGTGTCCAAGTGTCCGGACTTTTATTTGTTTATTGTTTTTTTTTTTTTATCGCTATCAAAGTTTTTATCACATTACCGAAAATGGATCCGACCAGAGGGTTTTTCTCCAAGCTAAGGAAGATGGCGGTTAATCTGGAGACAGAAACTGAGAGGCTAAAGCAAGTTTATGAGAACCGAAGCACTGAGGATGGAGACAGCGACCTGGGAGGTACCAACAGACACTTCTGCTCCTTTCTCACTCACAAACATGTTCTGATATGTAATATTGTCTACTTTTGTCAATGGCGGCTTATTCTGTTTCAGAAACAAACGTCCAAGCGATGCGAACATTCCATGAAGTGAACGGAGAGGTTACAGATCTTAAGGTACAACTTAGATATTATACACCTGCTTTAACCAGCTGACCCAGCAACACAGCTATGAGGCTTTGCTGTAGCTAACCACATAACGTAAAGACCCCGCATTGACTGTCGCTGCGCAGAAATTACGGGCGCCATCTTGGGGAGGTCACGCTGCTCCCAGGACCTGTTGGTTTAAGAACTTTGTGAAGGAATTGCTGAATAAACAGCATATATACACACACACACACATATATATATATATATATAATATTATTAACTTATTTTTTTCTTTATTGATCTCACAGTGGATAAATTTACTCAAATAGTCAATGAAGAAGAATGTGCCAAAGTTGCATGAAGTATACACAATACGTCCACATATGAAAACTGTTTTCTTTTTTTATAATAGGATTATTATACTATTATATAGGGTTATTGCACAGGGTGTTTACATGGGTATTTATATAGATGGGTATTTATGTATACACATATTTATATATATATATATATATATATATACATATATATATATACATATATACATATATATATATACATATATATATATATATATATATATATATATATATATATATATATACATATATATATATATATATACATATATATATATATATATATATACATATATATATGAATACATATATATATATATATATATATATATATATATAGTTATTGCACTGGGTGTAAATATAGAGAAACAGGCTATTGCACACGGTATCAAATAGTAATTGCATTTTATACATTACACAAGTTATTGCTGTTGTAGTGTCACATTATAGACTCTGCAGGGAATAATGACCTGCGGTAGCTACAAAGGGGGTGTAAAGGTCTCCCACTAAAGGAGCTGCTCAGCTCCTCTACAGTCTGGTGAAGAGGGTGGAACGTGTTGTCCAAGCTTGGACAGCACCCTCTTCTCAGCCACTTCCACCACTGAGTCCACAGCGTAGGACAGAAACGGCCTTTTTCACCAATTATTATAAGAGAGAGAGAGAATAGTAAATTGTTGTTACACCTGCAAAATATTACAGCAAAAGTGGTCACACACATGCGGACCTTAAAAAGTGTATAAAAATAGAATAAGTGACAGTTAAAAAAATAAACAAAATACTGTTCTAAACAGTGTTTTAACAAACATAAATATCGTGCATTTGAAGAACGTATAACCAATATACGTGGACATTTTCACGTCATATCAGAATACTCTACAACTGTTAACCCCACTAAGACTATTTAAATACAATGTCCCATTTGTTTGTTTTCAGCAAAAAAACAACCGTGAAAATTTGTTCAATATTCAGTGAGTTAAAAAAGATTAAAAGTGATGCACAATGGCGCCATAAAATCATGCCTAGGCTCATAGGCGAAAGCGGTCGAAGCGGGGTCTACTCTTATATTATGTCTATGATGGTAACTTAAAGGAGCACTGTAGCTTCGACTTCTCTTAATGAGCAGAAATAAAATACAGAGGAGATCTAGATGTGTCTAAGGCAAAGTTCACAAGAATTGGAAGCATAGTGTTACAGACAGGACGAAAAGGAGCCTGAATAAATTAATTAAAACATGTGAACAGACAAAAATACTCATCTCATAATAAAACACTTTGGCATACAGCTGAGATAACAAGAAAAACAGCAGCATATATCTAAAAACAAGGGGCTATTGTAATTAAAGACCTAGGTGTTAAACAACCCAAAAACATTAGATTAGATAGAAAAACAGGGCTTATAATGGTAGGGGAGTAAAATATTGCTGGAGCGTTAAATACTTTTTTTTTATAAACAGAAAACTGAATGGTTTTTAAGTGGCAGAAAAGGACAAAAGCAGAAGAAATCTGAAAAGGGTGGATCTATTTTCTCACCCTTATTGGAAGTAAAATATTTCTCATTTGACAAAGATCGCAGTATTAAAATGCTATCAAACATGATTCATTACAGGACATTTACCCTTTTTTTTTCTTTTACTGAGTGATGCTAAATCACTAGAATCTTAGCATTTTCCTTTATCCCTATATTCACCCATATTTAAAGTAAAGCTAAGCTACTTTATGTTCTAGACAAATGGGACAGAGTGATTTGATGCTCATAAATAAAATAATATTTCCTAATGAACACATACTTTCTGTTAGGGCTGAAAGGATTAATCATGATTGATCATTTATTGAAATAATCATAAACTAATCTGGGAATCGAATCGTTACTTAAAGTAACAGCACTCAGACTCTAAAACACAATTAAGTGGAAGAATAACCTACCTAAAGCAGTAATTTAGATACAACTGTACAGAGGTAAACAAAAGACATTTATTAAATATCTATGAGCATATATTTTTGTACATATTCTGCCATTTGCAATTCATTTAAAATTGTGGTTTTATTTAGAGACTTTAAGTTTTAGAGAAATTCAAAAAAAAATTCTATAGATTAATCCGTTGATAAAACAATCAGTCCTTTAATTTCATATTATACATCAATATCAATCTAAAATCTTTTCGAATATTCTAGTGAATAGTGAAAAACATTTTTGACTCATTTTCTGGTGAAAATCCTTGTTTAAACAGATCATTGTGACTACTGGCAGCATAAGATGATACCTGGACCCTACAGAGGTTACACAGGCGCTCCAGCAGTAGGTTTTTCCCAGAGTGCGGCGTCATGAGCATGTAAGGCGTGCTAAGAGACGCAAAGTTTCTCTAACAGAGCTGGACATGGCTTAACCTATCAGCAGGATTAATGTCTGTTCCTCAGAGGAGTTAGAAACGGGATGAAAACTGTAAAGCTCTGTTCCCACTACAGACAAATGTGGCCCAGGTCTGAATGTTTTGGCCTGAAGTGACTCAGGTTAAATTCTTTCATGACTGTATGAACAGGCCAAGTCACAAATAACCTGATCCGGGCCACATTTCTATGTGATTTTAAATCTGATGCAGGTCGGATCTTTTAGAATGTCACTGCAGTCTGAACAGCAAAGTGAGCGGAATCAAAGTATTACGATGATGTCACTCTGTATTGACAGACAAGGACAAAAACAATTACAACAGATGCGTAGATGGAGGGGCAATAAAACTGTGGAGTTAATACGTTTTTTGGGCTGATATAGGGGGAGTGTTGGTCTAGTGGGTCAGAGCAGTGTGCTTGTGCTCTGAGAAGGATGCAAGTACTGGCTGCAAGTGGCTGGTGAATTTAACTCCGCCCAACTGTAGTAATGTCACGAACAGTACAATACCACCAACTGGTGGTATGTGGGTGTAGGTGCAGCAAGTTGTGCTGAACTCCTGCAGCAGGAAGAGGCAGCCTGTGAGCCTGCGCTCAGGGCAGCAAATCCAGATGTTACACATACAAATCCTGAATTTGTGGATCTCACACAGCAGAATATCACGTGTGTAATGAGAGCCAACCGAGAAACGGCTCGACTTGTCACCAATGATTTGTCTGTATTTCTGGGTCTTGAACCGAAAATACTTCAGACATAAGTGTCTCTGTATATGTTTACATATTGATCTACACATTTGCAAATCTTACTTCAGATTTGTAAATCTCAGTACACATTTGTAGATCTGAATCCAGCTTTGTGGATTTTTTTTACACATTTGCAAACTGGGTTACACGCACAGTAGTTTTACACAATTACAGATTGTTTTACAGACACACAAATGTCACACATTTACAGTTTCATTTACACATTTTCAAATCCCAATACATGCACACAAATCGAGATACAGATACACAACTCTCCAGACACATTTTCAAATAATAAAGCAACAATTTTGGCCGCATAACTGAGCATTAAGACATGCATTGTGAACGTAGCCTAAGAGCTCTACGCGCCGCTAGTCTCCAATTTGACTTTCAGCAGATCTGCCTTCTCCGTTTTTCAGTTTAGCGTGACTTTTTATTAAATTATATCAAATATTCTTCCATGGTTATCCAGAAGAGATCAACCAATACGGGTATTTTTTAAGGCTAATATCGATACCAATTGTTTTGACATCAGTCTAACCAATTCCTGATATAATGCTGGGCTGAATCTTGATATTATGTTGTTTCTACCCCAGTTTACATTAAATAAAAATTAAACAATAAGAGATGTTACAGTTGATTCAATAAAAAAAGAAATATTTATTAACCGTTCAAACAAAACATTTGGAATTTATAGCAAATGGAGGAGAGTGATGATGCATCTGCTCCTCATGATCTCAAGACCTGGCTGCGTAGTGCATGTGAATCGGCTAATGTATCCGTATATTGGCGCATGCATTAGCCATATATCTCTGATATCCAGGATTAAAGTGAGTTGTATCTAAAGCAATGCGCTGGGAATCCACACGTCCGTTTCTGCTCTGTGTCGCCATAGAGCCAGCTACAGGAAGAGCTAGCTCAACAAAAACAACGAGAGAACGAGGTCAGCAGCTTCATTAAGGCCTGCAGAGTGATGCAACAGAGAGTCTCTAAAGATATCCACACCATTAGAACCCACTTCGAAAAATATGGTTACCAAGCTCCTTGTGATGCAGAAAACCCAGACGGTAAGAACTGCTTAACTGCATCTAGTTTGTGAAATGTTTAACGTCTGTCTGGTGTCAACTTGAGGAAACAGCAGTGAGATTCTCTTGAATATAAACAGCAACCTTTGCTCCAGCAGGCGCCAACGATCAAGAAGCAGAGGATGAAGGTAACTCAGAGGGGGAAGAAGACGGAAGCCAGGAGGAGGATGAGGGGGGAGAGTCTTCATCGTCTCCAAAAACGAAGCGGCCCTTCACCGACGAGATGAGAACCCCTCAGCTCTCAGATGTTGGTCTGTCTGCGTTGCAGTTAAAGAGGGCTCTGGGTGGGGCTGAGTGGTGCTCTGAAGGTCCTCCCGTTCCGGAGATGAATCTCCCCCGGTCTTCACCCAAAACACCCGCTCCGCCAGCCGTTTACATGAATCCCAAACGCGCCCTGCAGATGGACGACGAAGAGCCGCAGATTCCCCAGATGCATGAGTTTGGCATCTCAGAGCAAACGATGTGTCTGAATAGTGACTTCACTATGGATTTGTTCAAGAAGAAGGACCTAAAGCCTGAGAAGTAAAGTCCACTCAGTAATGTTAGAAAACTCTACTGGTTACAGACCAGCTTTGTTTCCTCTTAGACTGCCTTTTAATAATGCATTAACTTTTGCACGTTTTACCTTATTATAAGCTTAAGACTTTAATGAATTTTATTTAAATATGGCGTGATAGGCTGACACAACATAGTGTATATATGTGAAGTTGAAAAATACAGGATTTTTTCTCACAAAGATTGGAACGATGTGGGATTCCTTTGCATCCAATCACCCCTCAGGAATTTATAGAATTACACTGCTAAGATGGAAATCTAAATAAGTCATTTTTTTTCTTAAAATAAGTGCATTGTTTCTAGATTTGAGGGAGTAAGTGAGACACTTTGCCAATGAAACAAAACAACATTTAAAATAAGAAAAACAATTGCATTGTCTTATTTTGACCGCATATTATCTAATTTTTGTTATTTAAAGAGTAAAAATACTAATTCCATTGGCAAATCTTCTTATTTAACTGCTCAAATTAAGGATAAATAAACTTAATTTAAGAAATGCTTTACTTATTTCTAGCTAGTTTTGGCAGTGTACCTCCCCTTGGATATTAAGCTGTCAGTCTGAAATGGATTGTGTGAATGAGAATATCATTCACACAATCCACACATCTGTCCTGTTGTGATGAAATATAGTCCAATACGCTCATTGTTTTTCCAGCGTAGTAGCTGTTTTACTATTCTACTGTTCTATGCGAAAAATTTTAGCACAAGCAGTTGTTACGCCCAAAGTTTAACAGACTGAAATTAGGCCGATACACTGACCAAGGTTATTATCTCTAAAAGTAATGAAATAAGGAAAACTAGAATATAAATAAAAAAACATTTCAGTTAGTGGAGATAAAAAGATAAAAACTAGACCTTCCATGAAAAAGGAAAACTAATTAAACCATAACAAAATTTTACAAAATTAATTGAAACTAACTTGATTTTAAGGGAGTGTTTCGTTTTCATGATGCAACAATATGAGGTCTACACTGCAAAAAATCTAAATCTAGATAAGTTGTTTTTTTTCTTATAATAAGTGCATTTGTTCTTGAATTGAGGAGGTAAAAGAGACATTTTGCCAATGGAACAAGACAATTTACACTTAAAATAAGAAAACACAATTGCATTGTCTTATTTCAAGTGCATTTTATCCAATTATCTTATTTTAAGAGTAAAAATACTCCTTCCATTGGCAAACTATCTCATTTACCTGCTCAAATTAAGGGTGAATACACTTTATTTAAGAAATTTTGACTTATTTTTATATCGTTTTTGCAGTGTAGCTACCAGAGTCCTGGAAAAAATCGAAATCTAGATCAGTAATTTTTTCTTAGAATAAGTGCATTTGTTCTTAGATTGAGGAGGTAAAAGAGACATCTTGTCAATGGAACAAGACAATTTACACTTAAAATAAGAAACACAATTGCATTGTCTTATTTCAAGTGCATATTAGCTAATTATCTTATATTATAATTATCTTATAAAATACTAATTCCATTGGCAAACTATCTCATTTACCTACTCAAATTAAGGGTAAATACTCTTAATTTAAGAAATTCTTACTTATTTCTAGATCATTTTTCCAATGAGGCTGTTTTCACTGTACCGCATTACGCCAGCAGATGGCAGTATTGAAGGCAGTTCAGTTATTTACTACAGCAGTCTGTCCTTATAGGAGTTTTTTTTTCCTTCTCTGAGTATTTAATTCATATCACATAAAAGACTATAACTGAAACTCATAAAAACTAATCTGAACTAATCGTGTTTCCAAAATTAAAAACTAAACTACCTTATAAATACTAATAATGAATCAAATCTAAAGTAGCATTCAAGTTATTAAATCAATACTAAATAAGAATTAAAACCAATGAAAATGTTCACACTATTTAAATCTTGATAAAGGTTAAGTTTTGGATAGAAGTCCTGATTAAGTCAAAAATGTTTCATGTAAACATCAGACTGAAGATTCTAATCTGATTTCGTCTGAATAGAAAAAAAAATTTACATTTTTATTGATTAAGGTTTTTTTTCCCCCGATTGCCATTCAGATTGTTGTCCATTTACACACCCCTTCGGATCTTTGGAGTAAAATCATCTCCATTTTTCATGTGTGCAACATCAGCATGGCGTTTTTCTCTGTACTAACCTTCATCTTCTGGCTTCTGGTCCTCCTCGCTGGAGGAGGTGGCTCTAAATGTAATGTGCGGATGATGAACGCCCCATCCTGCCCTCTACTCCTGTAACAAAGGAGCGTCAGCATAAGGTACCAAAATAATCTGGAATAAAAACCGCATCAACAGCAAATGAAGAACTGCAGAAAAAGAAATGTGCCGGGCAGGAAGAAAGAGTAGCTAAAGTTGATCAGTGGACAAGTATGGGTTTGTTTACAAAACAGGCAGCTTCTTCAAGGCCTATTACTAAATTGTTCCAGAAAACTAGGGAGTTATGCGCATGTTCCAATGATTTAGTCTGATTTAAAGCTTAGTACATACATATAGACATATACTCGTAATGATCATCAAAGATTTAGATTGGATCAGAGAAATTTTGCTCATGCAAACGTAGCTACTGATATTTAATTAGTGTAACAGCCAGTGGAAAAAATGTTTTCAAACGCATAAATCTCCATATTTGTGAGAAAAGAGCTGTCAAAACAAGAACCCCATACCCTTCAGACTCTTAACTGGGGTGTCCCCATACACCTTTTTTCATTTCCAATACAGGGAAGGTGGCGGCCTAGTGTTTAATGCATAGAGCTTTGAATCCTGAGGCCCCATTGTTTGGCGCAGTACATTAGCTGGCAGCCTTAAAAGAAAAAAAAAAAGTGGGAGAGTGGTTAGAGAGTTGGAAATCCCTCTAGCTCACTGAATACGACTCTTAACCCCCAATTGCTCCCTGGGCGCCCCATGATGGCAGCCCATTGCTTCCCAAGGAGATGGGTTAAATGCAGAGGTAAATTTCTCCAATGTTAGATAAATTATTTAAAAGCAGGGATGAGGTTCCAGGTTCAGAGGGATTTCCAAACAGCCGGTCTGTCGAGCTAAACCAACCAATGGTGAGAGTTTTTTTTTTTTCCACTTAATAAAATGCAGCATTACCGCGCTGCTGCGTAGCCGCCTTACTAAGCAACAACTCTGGGTCAGTCTGATCATTCTTGTATTTAGGGAAAATATGAACACCGCCTCCAACATGTAGAAAAGATGAAGGGAGGAAGCTTAATTAGCAAAGAGACAAAAAGAGGAGAAAGAAGTTATGCGGTTGTAATAGCAGCATTAGAAAAATCCCTACCCTCACCGACTGCGCTCCAGAAATCCTGATGAGAACCCTGCACATGCACTGGAAAAAATCAAAAACTAGAGAAGTCATTTTTTTTTTTTTTTTAAACAAGTGCATTGGTTCTTGAATTGAGAAGGTAAAATGGACATTTTGTGATTGGAACAAGACAATTTACATTTAAAATAAGAAAAAACTATTGTATTGTCTTATTTCAAGTGCATTTTATCTAAATATCTTATTTTAAGAGTAAAAATACTCATTCCATTGGCAAACCTCATTTACCTTCTCAAAATAAGGGTAAATACACTTAATTTAAGACATTTTTACTTATTTCTAGATCGTTTTTTAGGACCGTCCCACCAGGGGGAGGGCTCAGGGGGAGACCCAGGGCACGCTGGATGGACTATGTTTTTCGGCTGGCCTGGGAACGCCTTGGGTTTCCTCCGGAGGAGTTGGCCTAAGTGGCTGGGGAGAGGGACGTCTGAGCGTCCCTTCTCAAGCTGCTACCCCTGCGAGCTGACCCTGGATAAACGGAAGAAGATGGATGGATTTTTGCCTCTTTCATCCGCTGAGCTTTAGTAATCCACTTCGACCCACAATGAATCATGGGAAATGGTGGGCTAAGATGAATACATCAAACCCCTCCTGTGAATTCTCAAAAAGAGAGATTTATCTGCATGGAGCAAGATTTTTTTAGGCTTTTCTAAGCTCAAACATCGGTTTGGTTTGTCTTGATTTCCCTCAACTTAAAAAGGGATCGTCATTTTCCTGAAACCTAAATTCCTTAGTACTGAGAACTGACAACGGTTTTTCCTGAAACCCAAGGATGTCCTAAAACCACACCGGACTCCAGAGTTACTATGAGCCTTTCATCATTTTAGCTGGATGGTGGTGCTCTGATTCTCATCCGCTTAATCTGTTTTGAGATTTTCATGATAGGATATCGTCTAGAATCTAACCCAGCTGTAACCTTTATCCCTCATCTGTGTGCTGCATTCCTGATCTTCAAGAACCTAATTTTTATTTCAATTACTAATTAAGGATGATTGTTTGCTCTATTTTTTGTTTGAGGGTGTCAGGATGAATACTAAATAATGTCACTTGGATCTCTGCCTGTAAAGCATTTTGCACTGTGTTGTGTTGGTCTGCCACCAAAAAACAAAACAAAAAATCGCAATAAGTTGCTTGACATGTTGTAATATTTTAAATGCTCCATGATTGTTTCCTCCACAGACCTCAGGATATCCCAGTCCCGACAGTCAGCCCTGTGACGGAGAGGTTACACACTCGAGGTATTTAAGTTTGTTCTCTCTGGAGTCACTGAAGGTTTTATAAGGTTTTTCCTGGGAGCTCTGGATTCTTTACACTGTTGCTTATTCAGATGCACTCCCCTGATATCATCCATCATGACCCATTCATCATTATTTTTAGCATCTAAAGCAGAGGTCTTCAACAGGGGGTCCGCGACCTCTAGGGGCTCCACAGGGGTACTGCATGGGGGTGGCGAAGGTTTTGGTTGTTTTAAAAGTTTTTTTTAATATTGCCTCCTGCAATTTTTTCCACTAATTGAAATGTCTCTAAATCCACATTAACATAATTTCAACACACTGTAGTAAACAGATAAATCGAGGCAGATGTCTTTCAGTCATCAATGCACACATTCAGCGACACACAGGAGCTCTTTCAAGCTGGGCACCGTTTCATTCACAACACCTGTCCCATCAACCAGGAATCAGAATCAGAAATACTTTAATAATCCCAGGGAGAAATTACTTTCATTACATTCCTCCATCTGTAATAGAGTGACTAGAGGACCAGTTTGATATTACACAATTTCATACAATATATATTATAATTTGGGGGTCCTTGGCATGGAAAACGTTGAAGACCCCTGATCTAAAGTGATTCTGCTAAACAAGCTTTTTTATTTATACTTCTTATTAATATGGTGACTGCATTAGAAATAATTTACTGAGCCGGATTCTAGCAGCTAACTTTCTACAAATCCTATATCTGATTCAGTACAGCAGTTTTATTAAAAGGTCCATAGTCAGGTTATTGGACATTTTTAAAATGATATTCCAGTTATACTCTCAGGTTGTATAAAATGTTTTTGTCAAAGATTATTACATCCTGCAGATGTTTTAATTATTTTTATATGGTATAGTTTGTTTTTGATCATTTTGCTTGAAAATAAAGCCCTTCGTTTGTGTTTACAAGAGGTACACCACTTTCTGGAGGTGTGATACTCTGCATGTGTGCAAGGGGTGAATAAGGAGGTAATGCTGCCAGTTAGCACCTCCCAGTGAAGTAGACATAATGAAACAAACTCAAAGATCCATTGTGACATAAATGCAAAAACAAAAAAAAGAAATTGATTCCAAGATGGAAAAGTCTCCAATAGTGCTCTGAATACATTCAGGATGCTGTTCACTGAAGCTAAAGCTGCTGATGGGTTCAGATTGGCTGCTAAGTTGATGGATATGATTAAACCTCCCTATTAATACTGGTACCAGTGATAGCAAAGCTCTACAGTTTGAGTACAAGCAATATCAGGAATAGGTAGATTAAATGATTTATTTATTAATTGATTATTTCTTACAGTGATGTTGTGTCCATGTTCCACTAGAATTCAGTTACTTTAGATCATTTTTTGTTTTCATTTTATTACTGTAATATGAGTTGGTCTTTAACCATGGCAAGCTGTTGCTTAAATGTGAGACATTGCAGGGCGATCAATATTCTATTCAATTCAGTTTATTTACATAGCGCTAATTCCAAACATGTCACCTTGAGGCACTTTACAGAGACGATTCAGTTTGATCATCCAGTCTGATTAAAGGCTCTAAGGAAAACCACATGGTTGACTATAAAGGATTCTCTCCTTCTGGGTGAGCAAATGGTGACAGCAGACAGTCCCTCACTCTGAGCATGCATGCCACAACGGAGGAGAGGACTTTTTTTTTAACAGGAAGAAACCTCCATCAGAACCAGGCTCGTTGTGAGGGCCTTCTGCCAAGGTCTGCTGGAATTCAATGAGACAGAATCAGACATACAAAAGGAATTTGGAGAAACTGATCTTTAAATCCTTTCTAGGTTAGAAAGCTAACGGTTAAACTAGCTACATAGGTGGCTCTGACTAGGAAAGAAAAAGTTAAGCAGTTGAGCTCTGAGACAGTTTTCATGTCAAAGGGCTGAATTAGAGGCCATACAGTGAGTCACAGTAAAAGCTGAGTCTAGGCGAAAAACGGGACTAAACACTGGAAATTAGGCTTAACACTTATCATTTATAATTAGAGGTGTTAATGGCAGCCTCCCAATGATTAGTCATCACCATCTATTTTTCTGATAGTTCTATTTCTAATTCTATTTAGGCTCAAAAAGAACCCAAACACCATCAGGATGGACGTTTGGTGTATGCAGCCTTATTTTTATCCTGATCAAGTGTCTTTTTGGTCTTTATTGTAAAGGCATAAAACCTTTTAAATCGGGTCAGATCATCTCTCTGCATCCTGCTGCAGATAAATATGGCCCAAAAAACCCACTCCTCTAAGAGAACACAGAAATTAATCTTCCTGATCTTGTTCTCTTCTCCATGTCTTTCATTTCTTTTCTCAGTTGAGGATTTGAAGTCCCCAGAGCCACCTCTACTTTATACCCCAGGGTTCAAGATAAAAAAAGCAGGGGAGCCTGAATCCCTCTCTCACCATGGAAACGTGCTGTTGACCCCTGAGCTGCCTGCTTTTCAAACCCAATGTGTGAACCAGCTGTTCAGCAAAAACAAGGTAAGTTGAACACTCTAGCCAAGTCTTCAGAGGGAGGATGGGCTCTCCTCGGCTCAGCGTTTTGTTGCCTTTTCAGATTACAGAGGCTGAGCCCATCAACCTGCAAAGCAACGGCGCTTGTGATGCTGCTGGTGATGGCGATGGCCACATTTTCCGACTTCAAACAACTCCTTGCAATGGACCAAATGGCCACATGTCTTCCTGGGAGTACAATGTGGCAGAAGGGTCCTTCTGCGATGTGGAGGCCATGAAGATGCCAGAGAAGCCCAACTTGGAGTCTGTTCTGGGATATTCCTCACAAACTGTAAGACCTGGAAAACTGATATGCTGGTAGAGCTCTGGGGTCGCTAAGAAATATCATCATAAAAGTTTCATACCATTTCTAAGAGTAATATTAAATATAAAGTAAAATAAATAAATAAAATGTTAGAATTTATTATAATCACCTTAAAATGAGCTGTAATCTGGTGTGGTGATGATTTGGATATATTACAGCTCAACTGGCCAATAAACGACAACATTATTGTTATTCTCTTTCTCCCTCGCGACATCTGCGGTCATTGAAAACAGCAGTTCAAGTATCTGTTTCTGAAACTTTAAAAACATAGATACCAATGCTAATTTAACTCAAATTAATTTATTAGTTTGGTGCATATAACCTGCTGGCCTTATATATCAGGTAATTATTTTGGTGGAATGGCTGGTATTTAGTTTTATATTAGTTTTAGTAGTTATATTAGTTTTATTAAAGCCAGTATATTCATTCCAAAAAAGTAAAAAAAAAAAGGAACCATGGGACTTTGTTTTCCAAGTTTTCAGGAAGCTTTCTCAATTCAAAATGTCTGGAGTAGCGTTGAGTTCCAGGCTTTATAGAGTAGCCCAACAAAGCCGTTATGGCTTAGAAAACATGCAAATTGAACCAAAAAACAGGTCCACCCCTTAGTAACGGGGAGTCGGTAGGATTGTTGTTGGCCTGGCTGGCCAGGAGAGATAGTTTGATCCCTGCATGGCGATGAGAATTGAGACGATAGCGGGAAGGAATCAACTCTATCGCTGTGTTGTAGGTTTTTGAGAGGTGAAACTTGAGTCCTCCCTCTCTGTTTAAGGCTTCTTTTAACGTAAAAGGCTTCCTTCACACCCCTTTCCAACCACCTGCCTTCTTTGTCCAAAATGAGAACGTGATGGTCCTCAAATAAATGTCCCTTGTCCTTAAGGTGAGGTGGGCAGCAGAGTCTTGTCTGGAAGAGGTTGCTCTCCTTTGTTGAGCCATGCTGTGCTGAGGTTTGGTTTCTCTAATATAAAAACCAGAGCATTCCTCACTGCACTGAACTGCATACACACCTTGCATATGACCTGGATGACTCTTCACCAGCATAAAGCCAGTATAGTGCCAATAATATCCTTCATCTGTGATTTGGTGGTGCCCAAAGCGGGGCAGCAGTAATGTCAAGGTGAAATGAACGAGTTGTTTCCAGGTCTGATGTAGATGTTCTATGACTGTAAAGATCAACTTTGTGTTTATTTTATAACACAATATTTCTGAGGAAAATAAAAAGAGGAATAATTAACATCTGAGGAAATGGTGAGTGATGCTAAAAGTAATAAAACACAAACAGCCCTGAAGTTCTTCCTGCTAAGTTAATTATCGGCTTTCTTTTTTTTAAACTTTGCTTTGAGCCTGAACCAAGTTCTAACCACGTTTAAGCAGAAAATAAATTAAAAAATGATGTGAGACACAAGTCTGGGATGTTCTGTAACAGATCAGCAGAAAACGGAGGAAGATCAGGAAGTGGGAGGAAAAGCACTTTGGATGGGTTTTCATTTTTGTGAACCGCTTTTCATCTCAGTTAAATGAGCAAATCACTGAGTCCAAGTCTCTACCAGCCTCATTAGAGCAAAGGACAGGATTTTATTTCTGAAAGGCTGATTTCCAATGACTGCTGGTTAGCTTCTGGTCTGAGCAGCAAACACACTTGGACAAAATGGTTGGTACCCCTCGCTGAATGAAAGACAGACACACAATTGGAATAATAAATATAATATCTATGAAAATGAACAAATGAAAGTCAGACATTAATTTTCAACCAAGCTTCAAAATATTTTTTTTTTTTTACTTTATTGCCTTAAACGCAGATTAACAAGCAAATACTATTAAAGAGGAACAGGGAAAAAACAAACAAAGGGAAAAAAATTGTAATAATTAGGTCTAATCTGTCAGACAAGAGCAGTTCTGGAAAGGGTATAGCACATATCGTATCTGGGTCTGTACTCTAGAAAAAGATTTCAATAGAAAATGTAACCAATTAATATTATTAATTGTCAAATATCAACTTTTTTATGCAAAGAAGCTATTTTGATTAATTATCTTGAAAGATTTATTTCTATTAAAATCATGTCATGTTGTTTTCACTCTATTATGGAGTTACCATTATTTTTTTCCAGGCCTCTTTCATGCGTAAAAGGTAATGTCTGACACCCATTCATTAATTTTCAGAGCTGTTTTATTTATTATTACTTTTGTCAAATTTAAATACTATCTGTGACCATTGTGGGTTTTTCTTTCATCAAAAAAGGGGCTCCAACGGTTTTGTTCAAGTGTGCATAGCAGGTCATATTTTCCGCATTTAAATAAAGCACCTTCTTTTTTTATCTTCTAATCTCCATTAGGGCTGCAACTAACGATTTTTTTATAAATCGATTCATCTGTCAATCATTTTTTCGTTTAATCGATTAATAATCGGAAAGCCAAAGGTTCCTTAAAGAAGAGTTTTTATGAAATTAAACGAGGTGAAAATAAACTTGTGGAGTTCTGGATAGAGCATATTGACAGGTGAAAACTTTATCTTCAACACAAAATTATTATAAATTTTGTTTTTACTATTTTGGTATAATTGCTGCTGAAGGTGGGTCACTCTGTCAGCTAAAGACCCATTTTAGAGTCTCTTTTACTCCAGTTAATGTTTGATTAATTACTAAATTAGTTTACGATTATTTTAACGATTAATTTTTTCAGCTCTAATCTCTATGCAAATAAAAGCATCAGCAAAAATGTTTTATATCAGGGATCTTCAACGTTTTCCAGGCCAAGGACCCCCAAACTGATGGCGAGATGGAGCGGGGACCCCTAATTATATATATTGTATGAAATAGTGTTATATCAAACTGATCCTATAGTCACTCTATTACAGATGGAGGAATGTAAGGAAAGTAATTTCTCCCTGGGATTATTAAAGTATTTCTGATTCTGATTCCTGGTTGATGGGACAGCTGTTGTGAATGAAACGGTGCCCAGTTTGAAAGAGCTCCTGTGTGTCACTGAATGTGTGCATTGATCATGGGCAGATCTAGACAAGGGCCAATGGGGGCCAGTGCCCCTGTAGATCATGTCCTGGTCCCTGTTATGGCCCCGGTGGCGAAGACATTATACTCAAAGAAGTTCTAATGATGATTTGCGCTGGTTACTGATAGGTCCTCTGGATCTTGGGTCTTTTTTTTTCTCTACAAATTCTGTTTTACTAATTTAAAAAAGATAAGGTGATATCTTCAGTGCTATTGAGATAGGATCCCAGTTTTCATCTGTTAAATGTTTTTTCAAAACAAGTTGCTCTAATTTATATGGCTCAATTTATCTGTTCTTCTTGAGTTATAATTCAGATTTTATAGAAAACAGTAATTTAAACTTAAATTAGCTCCAAAATATGTAAAATTCCATAATTATGAATTTTAATTGACCCAATAAGATATGTAAGTTTAATCAAAACCTTATTGAAAAGAAATTTCACTTCATGCAGCTACCTTAATATATTTGAATCCCTTGTTCTATTTTTTATTTCATGCTTTTCTGGGCATGAAATAAAAACACGCTGGCCCCCTCCTGGCCCCTTGGTACGTTTGGTCTAGACCCGCCACTGGCATAGATGACTGAAAGTTTCTTCTGCCTCCATTTATCTGTTTACTACAGTGTGTTGGATTCATGTTAATGTGGATTTAAAGACATTTCAATTAGTGGAAAAAATTTCAGGGGAAAATAAAAAAAGAAAGTCTAATCAACCAAAAATTTGTCGACCCCCTGGCTATACATCTTTGGACCCCCTGTTGAAGACCCTCTTTTTACATTGTTTAATTTGCTATGGTTGACCTGCAGGCAAACTATCAAACGCTGAAGGTTGGGGAGAAGGAGTTGGTGAAAAAGGACAGAACCATCAGCAGACTGGATCTGGATGGACCCACCCAGGAGTTCAGCTTAGGGACTCCACGCGTCAGGATCAACTTCCAGGAACCCGGCACCCCCCAAATGCCCGATATCAGCTCCTATACACAGGATATATTTAAAGTAAGTATTTGATTTAGAAATGCACCGATCCGATAACTGGGACTGATATCTCCTTTGATATTTAGTGTTAGTTGGATCGAGATCCAATCCAGTAGACTTTAAATGTCATTTATTTCCTTTGGCTTCTCATTTGTTCATAAAGTACATTTATGTTACTTTTTATTTAGCCTTTTTTAAACAATGATTACATCATAGCTAAAGCCTTCACAAACATGGCGTTCAACGGTTGAATCATATTGGATATTGGCCGTACGCTCTGTACAGGTATCGGATTGGATCAGGAAAACTTAGATTAACATCCTGGTTAATCTTGTAAATCTACATATGTCATTTTTTCTTTAAATAAGTGCATTATTTTCTTGAATAGAGGAGGTAAGCGAGACATTTTGCCAATGGAATGAGACAATTAACATTTGAAATAAGAAAAAACAATTGCATTGTCCTATTTCAAGTGCATATTATCTAATTATCTTATTTTAAGAGTAAAAATACTCATGTCATTGGCAAACTATCTCATTTACCTGCTCAAATTAAGGGTAAATACACTTAATTTAAGAACATTTTAATTATTTCTAGATAATTTTTCCAGTGTGTGACATTGTTAAGGTGAACCTTTATAATCTACCTGTTTGGTTTTATAGCTTTTGTCAGATAGTGAGATGAACAAAATCAGCACAACGCCTATGACCTCGTCTGTCAACTCAGAGAAACAAACACACAGGTACTCCTTTTAAGAGGTTTTGTTTTTGTTTTTTTTGCTTACTTCGTGTTGTCATACAGCTTCTCTCTTTTTTTTTTTTTTTATAATTATTACTTCTTTTATCATATGCGGCATATATCAATTGTGGATGAAAAGAAATCAAGCTAATGAGTTAAATTATGGTTTAGCAAGAACATCTCTTTCTTCGAGGAGTCATACCTTAGTATTTTGCATAAGCAATGCTTCTTGAATTGACTTTAAAATTCATGTTTAATCATTTTCATTAAGGTTATCGTTAAACAAAACAAACAAAAGTAGAATTAAAAATCAATTCCAGCAACCGAAATAAAAATGAAAACTAGACTTTCCAAAAAATAAAAAATAAATCACCATCTTACTAAAACTGTGATATGAGCTTACAAAACTTATTAAAACTAACTGAATCTTAAGAGAGAACGGGTTTAGTGTTTGTTTGCGTCTTTATCGTGTTTAGTTTTGAGTTGCTGTTTTCGCTTTTTTTTTTTTTTTACACCAGCAGAGGGCAGTATGGTGCTGCTGTTGCTGCAGTCTGTCCTTATTGTGGACTTTTTTTTTTTAACTTTTAAGTCCTATTATATAAAAGAATACAAAAGTATCTAAAACTAATAAAAGCGAAACTGAAACTAAGAATTTTCCAAAAAAAATAAAAACTAAACTATCTAAGAAATCAGAAAAAAATAATTAAGGTAAAATACAATAGGGCTTGGTCGTCATGACGTAAGCAGTTTAGGTTGCCGCCATATTGACGGCCTCTTTTACCGCGGCTCAGACTACTGCCTATGACTACCACATACTGTACTCCTTCTCAGCCTGATTAATTTGACCTTAACTTGATTTCAACCATGGTAAACCGTTGCTGTATTGTGGGCTGTAACAGCTCAACACATGATCGCCATGGGAAAAACATAGAAAATGGGTTAACTTTCCACCGCTTTCCTGCCTGGAGGCGTAACCATGGAGACCAAGCGTCAGTGAAAAAGAGTCGTCGGCTAGCTTGGATCGCGGCTGTAAGACGACCGAACATAACTTTCCACAGTATTCCAATGTCAATGAGAGTGTGTTCCCTGCATTTTCATTCTGGTAAGGTAAAGATGCACGGTTTTATTTTATAGCCTACTTTGTTTCTTTCCTTCAAAGTTGGGATCTTTTACTGGAAAACAATAAAAACGGCAGCGGGAAAAGGCTCAAATACGTGAGAAACCCGGAGGGTTGGCAGTTAACGTTACTAACTACACCTTTGGAACACATAGCAGCTAGTTAAAAGTACATTACATGCGTGAGTGGTTGTTAGGATTAGCAGTTAGCGGTTGCTAAACTAGCAGGTTCCAGAGCCCGTCTGATCACAGCTTACCTTCGTACGGATTACTGTGTTCCCACTGTTTGCTGGCTTTATGATCTGCAGCTCCTGAACCCATCCATTCATGAACTGCATATGAGACTCCAAGGACTTGTAGCTTCGGAACTGTTTTGAAGTTTAGGCGCTCACTCATCGGTGCTCCACTCATTGTTTGGAACTTCATATGGATCCAAATTATTAATAATGCTGATTTTGTCAACATACCGGTCCGTGGCTTCTCTATTCAATGTGTCCTGGTAAATTCCAGATCTTTTTTGGGATTTTGACATCTTTTTTCTCTCTACTTCTACGTCTCTTCTTTCAACAACAACGTTGTATCAGAGCTATGTTTACGTTTGCGTAGCCGTCAATATGACCGCGACGTCCCACAATGCAACGTGGATCCCGAGCCCTATTGAAAATCAGAAGTCAAACTAAATAAGAATGAAAACCAATGAAAATTTAAAAAATGTTTAAGCGTTGTTTTTAGTAAAAAAGAAAAAATTGGAGTTCATTCTACCTTTTATACCCTTTTTCCTCACGAGAATGTTCACGAGAATTTGACTTGTGCGTATGTGCCTTTAGCGTTAGCAACTTTAGCAGTTAGCCGTGGGTGGTTTAACTTTATTTCCCCAAAAAGTTCCCCCATCTCTAAGCAGCTGCCTGCAGGTGAGTCCCTGATTGTTTTTCATCTTCCCTTTTTAGTGGAGTAGAGACAGGAGTGGTGATAGCAAAGCAGGCTACTATTAGCATCCTTCAGAGACTGACGTCAATACAAGAGGAGGAACCAAAACTGAGCTTTTTGGAGAAAACAATCTTGTTTAAACAAAAAGAGCCTGAATTTAGGATGATGAATCCTTTAAAAAATGAGATCATCAGTTGAGAAATGCCTTTTTCTTTACTTTGGTTATCTGTGTGAGAAACATTTAAAAGTATTGTGGATTATTTTGACCAATTTTTTAAAAGACCTGCCCTCTGTTTTGCATGCACAAGCCCATTTCTCCTCATGCATGCTCTGTTTAAAAGTTACTGTTCCCCTAGCGTTTACCCTAACACCTAAATCCCTCCATGGCTATATAGAGCGGGGACTATATAGTGGACTTTATAGTGAACTCTCTTACCTGACCGTTTGGACAGGTGATCAGTACCTTTTGCTCCACTGGTCAGGTGACTCCTCCTTCACTGCTGCGCCATCTTTTTATTAGTCGCATATGTCGGGTAACGACAGCCTATGGCGAAAGCAGGCCACTGTGACAGCAAATCCAATAATGCTTTCTGAGAAGAGTTCTCCACGCGAAGCATTCTGGGATAAACCTGCCTCTTCTGAGGCCTTTCTTTTCTTCTCATAAACTTCGTAGACACTTTTTCTCTCACAGGATTTCCGTGGGTCATTAAAAATCGTTAAAGGTCATTAAATTATCATTTTTTAAATTAAGGCCTTAATTGGCATTAAAATTCAGTAAATATGTTTATTGTGGCATTTAAAATGCTTTATTTAAAAAGAAAGTTTATAAAAACAATTTTGTCAGACATATCATATCACAACATATTTGCTTGGAACTGCTTCTGGTTGATTGCAAAGCTGTATGTTCAGAAAAGAAGCCTGAGTCAGAGAAAAAGCTAGAGAATGGGCGGGTGGGAAGCAAATAAAAAAAAAAAGTGGTTGGAAAACTAGGAATTTGGAACATGACTGCAGCATATTGACGGGGACCTGTTGGTGGCATTAAAATAATTTTTAAGAGCATTAAAAAGCATTAAGTTAGAGTTATTCATTCCTGTATAAACCCTGTCTCATGAGCTTAGGCCATTTTCAAAGAACCACGGTGAGAAAGTTGATCTTCAATGACTGTCTGAAACCGTAGCTGTGGAAGCAGCGTAGCTGCGCATGCGCAGAAAAAGTTAGCTAACGGGACTAGGCCGTAGGACGGCGTTACGTAAACGTCACAAGAATGATTGACAGTTAGGAGGACCACTTATTTAGATGATCCACCTGAAAAATAAAAGATTGTCCTCTATACCTTTAAATATGACGTAAAGGAAAGCAAGAAATCTATGAAGATATATATTTATTTATAGATTATATTTGAATTAATCTGGTTTACATTCACATGTTATAAAAGATGGTTACTAGAACTTATTTCCTTGAATGTTTAGGTTGCTCTCTTTTTACATGATTCAGCAAATTTGAATTCCTTTGTTTTACTCCTTTAAACCCTCAGTGTGGAGAAAACACAAATTTAAATCCATTATGTTTTTATTTTGGTGCTAAATATGTAAATATAGATTAAAATGTTATCTGAGAAGTGTTTCTTTTAGATTGCTTTGTGTGTTCAATGGTGTCAACATTAAACACACAAACATTGTTAAACATTTTTAAATGTTTAAAATGTTCTCTTTTTCGAAGAATGAGTTTCTTATTTTCTTGTTTTTGTCTAGTTCTCCGCCACCAAAGGGTTTGTCTTTGATTTCAAAGAGTGAGTTTCAGAAGTTGTCACCCTATCTGAGGCAGATGACTCTCAGCAGCCTGAACCAAGCCGTCAACAACATCAACAGATACACAGCAGAGCACCGTGGTGAGCCCTATGATACAGTCAGCAAAGAAAGCAAGTCCCATTAGAAATGAATGGAGAAATAAACACAGCTAGAAGTGCCTATATATATATATATATATATATATATATATATATATATATACACTTTTTTCTGTGCGGCCCGGTACCAAATGACCGACGGACCGGTACCGGTCTGCGGCCCGGTGGTTGGGGACCTCTGCTCTAAGACACAGACAGCCCCTCCTCATTTGCATAATGAAGCAGGAATGCAGACACAAATGTAAAAACCACAGGCAGAAATAAATAGCATTGAAGAAATAAATGGGGTAAAAAAAATACAAAAGAAGAATAAAACAGACAAAAATATTGCACATGAACATGCACATAAATAAGCACTGAAAGAATAAGTAATTAATAAAGTTGAAGATTATAACATTAATAAATAAGGTAATTATTACAAAGGGCGAATAAATAATGAAGCCAATTAAAAGAGATATATACATTTATGTCTCACTGTATAATTTAATTTCTACCTACGTTTATTTGTTTAAAGTATATTTTGGGGCAATTAATTATATGCTTATTTATTTATTGAGCATTTATTTATTTCTGTATTTTTTTTTTAAATATGGTAGAGCTGGTCCTCCATACTCGTCAAACGGACATGCGATGTTTGTTTTTAAAAGCTAATGTTTCTAACGGACCTTTTCATTTGTTTTTTTAATGCACAAAACTACGACAAAATCGGACTAAATCAGGAAATAAAAAAAAAAAATGTGATTGGCTGTAAGGAGAGCAGAGACGGAGGAAAACCTGCTCCTGACCAAGTTAGATCTGGGGAGGATGTTACTATGGTGACTGAAACAGGTTGAAGAAACGCTCTGAGAACCGGAAAAGTCAGTTTCTCTGTTTTCAGGTTTAGAAAACTGAGTTTTCAATGATCCTACTTCGTGAAATGGACCCCAACTTGTTAGTTTAGTTTGAAACCATAGTTTAAAAATTTAAAAGCAAGAGTTGTTGTAGGTAAGCCGCCCTTTCATCACTTCTTTGTCTCTGACTCCCCCTACAGGAATAAAAGAGGAATTTACATTGGAGGATTTGATTTCAATCATCAGTGTGGAAACCAAGGCCACCATATACATCCTGTGTCTACAAGAACTCAGGAGGCTACAGCGAGTGGACGCAGCTCTGGAGGCTAAAGTATACAAACTAATAACAGAAAAGTAAACGACGTCTAACCGGTCAGCTGAAGATGAAAACTGACCACTGCTAAATGGAAATTCTGACTTTAATGCTGAGAATATGAAATCATTTGGAGGAGTCCCACGCTGTCAGAGATGACAGCTGTTGTAGCTTTCTGTTCTGTTTGAGAGAAATGTATATCACCTTTATTTTTTAATGGTTAATAAAGTCCTAAATAATAAAATCATAACATCCTCCTGCATATAAATGAGTCATTCATGTGTTTTTGATGTGCAATTATTTATTTATTTATATAAATATACCTACAGCCATGAGCATCTACAACGATTAGTTTAATTTAATTTCCTTTAAAATCGATATTGAAAAAAAAATTTTTAACTGAAAGATAATATTGTGTTCAGTTCACATAGATATTGTACCTCTAAATAATCTGAGTGTTTGCTTTTGAAATCCCATAACCAGCAAATATTCGATTATTCTGTAATTTAATCTCAGTGCAATTTCAGCTGTGGTGTGAGACACATATTCATAGCTTTACTGAACATTGAAAATCAAACTGCAGCATGAGGACCAGAAATCATGGTGGGTTTCTGAGAAAGTTGTGTTTTAGAAAAGCAGGGTTTGGTGAAAAACAGATATTGATCTTTGTTGGATTAAGCCTCTTTCTTAGAACAAAATATAACTGAGAAGTTGGATTAATATTACCAGATTGGAATATTCTATATATGCGGTCGTTGAAGGAAAATAAAGGACAATATTGATGACAAAGTGACTTGGAAAATATTTTATATACAGTGAGTGCCATTCTTTCCTCTGGAAATGTACCTTTTTTATTAGCTTTGTAAAAAGTAAAGCTCTATTTTAACTAACTTTCTCCAGATACGCAGAAAAGAAAATTAAATTTTACAGTGGCCAAGTCCAGACCTACACCTAGTAAAGAGGTTAAGGCCTGGGTTTTGAACTGAAATTGATGTTGGCTGTTAGTTTCAACCCACTTTGACTAAATCTATACTTTTAAAAAGAGGATTTTTCATAAATGTCCATCTCTTGATTTCAAAGGCTAATTATACTACAGTCTACTACATCTTGGTGGATTACATAGCTAATTCAGTGCAGTTTTTAACCCTTTATAGGGCAAGTAAGCGTTTATGATCACTTGCATACCCCTTACAGATGGAGTCCCCCCGTCTCTCAGTGAGGTCCAGAAGCACAAGATACTGCTACATGGCTGTACATCTTATTTGGGCATTTGACCAATTAGATGAACCCTTGAATTATATATTACCTACTGTAAATGAAGTTGGGGGGAAAAAAGTTAACTAGTCAAGAAAAAAAGGTAAAAAGCTAATTAAAAAGTTAATAAGCCTAGTTAACAATTGTAAGTTTTCTAAACTAAAAATTTTAGTGCCAATTTTAGTATCAGCATTAATGCCTCTAAGGTTATGTTGTACCAAAAAATGTGTTTCTTTAACTCTCAGTGTTTTTATGAATTTCTTATAGAAGTACTTTTGTTATTTTTCTCAATATAATCAGGAAAGTTGGCCTTTCTTGTTATTACATTGACAATAATTTTTGCCATCAAAATATCCATATATCTTGAATGTTACAAAGTCTTGTCAGGGATTTCAATAACACTATTGGCATGAAATTTAGATTTTCAAACTATTTCACTGAGTGCCCTATAAAGGGTTAAGGCTTTTCCATTAGTCCAGCACTTCAAGAAAGATAAATATTAAGAGATTAGGGTTAAAAAAGACATTAAATATGAATTTTAATTTAGAAAATGCTCAGCTGTGAATGTGGAATCATTAGTTTATTAAAAAAGACATTCCTTTTGGCGGTGTCTAGAACAAAGAAGGATTATACAGTATATATATATATATATATATATATATATATATATATATATATATATATATATATATATATATATATATATATATATATATATATATATATATCAATCTGAGCATTTCCATAATGACAGTTTGTGTGCACGAGATCAAGTTGCTGTAACGTTGCCTCCAGATTATCCAATCAGATCGAGGCTTGCGTACGTCGATAACGGAACTGTAGTTTTCTGGGCTTTTTTATTTATTTCTTTTATTTTACTACGCATCCTCCGGTCGGTCACCATTTTGGGAGTCTAAACAACCAACAGGCAGCGGCAGGCGCCTCCACGCTCCTCCGTGGCCTTACTATGGTTCAAACATGTGGGGTGGCAGGCTGTAAGAACCGTCGGACCCCAGGAACCAATCTCTCTTTCTACTGTTTCCCACGGGACGCAGACAAGAAGCACCGCTGGATAGCAGCTGTGAACCGAGCGGGCTGGTTACCGAGGCACCGCAGCTGGTGGTGGACGTAGTTCCCACTTCATTTCAGGTATGAATACAGAGCAAAGGCTGAGGAAGGAACAGGAGTTTTAATGTTTAATGTGCTTTATAATAAAATGACAGCCGCTAGCAGCAGCAGTGTCAGAGTCAGCAGGTAGGAAAACGGTTTATAACACCTGTTTACTGACATTAAGCTGCGAAAAGTTTGACTTCAGCTCTTTTAAACACCCAACTAGTTGACGGGCTCTATAAGTTTTCTGAATATTTCACCAGATTTAATTTTAGGCTAATATTTTAGACTATTTTTAAATTCTTGTCGGGTTAGTTTCTGAATGCTCAGTATTAAACGAGTTAAAATGTATATCTAATAAATAAAAAAAATAGACGGATTTCATCAACAAAATAATATTTTGTTTAATTAAAATCAAATAAAATGTGCATTTTTTTAATTATAAGGGCGTTTATTTGTCTTAAAACGCAATTTTATGACTAAACATCTATAGTATCTTACAACATTATTTACACGTAAGGTTTCCAAGCACTATGAACAAAATTAAATTTTATCTGCTCAATTTAAGTCAGAAAACTGATAATTTTTTTTCTTGTCATTTTTTGTTAAAATCTGACTATTTTAATTCTTTTGAGCAGATGATGCCAATGGAATGAGATGAATTACATTCAGAACGGGAAATAAAGACTATTATCTTAAAGGCACACTATGCAACATTTTTCAGTTAATTAATGTGTTCCATAACGTTTTGGATGATTAAATGAGTCATTTCAGGTTGAACAAAGGTATTCTCGGCCGCCCTGGTGGTCTGTGGGGGAAAAACCGCACTTGCAATTGCAGGAGCACCGACCCGCACCCACAGGCTCAAAAGTCTCGCGCGAGTCGGTCTTGCTTTACGGCAAGAACTGCTACACGCCCCCAGTTAAAAGCATGCTCGTTGCTAGCACAGTGGCGATCTTTGTGCAGCGCTGCTTTCACACCGGACACAGCAAAAGCAGCAAAATCGCGTCTGCTGCTTCATTTTTACTGCTTGTACCAGTTCTGACGCGTGGCTGAAGCAGCTTTGCTGCTCTGGCTGCGTGGTGCAAAAGTGTGTCTGACGCACGTTGGGCGGAGCTTCACTATCCTTTCTCTGCCTTGCAGCTATATTTGCTGTGATCAGTGGGAATAAAGTAGTTTCAATATGTTTTTAAGTGAGAAAATACACCTGAAAACGTAATCAGTGCAGTCAGTTCCTCCAGATTACAATCCTGCCTTCCAATATTTTTTCTGTCGGAGCCGCTCAGACCCCCACATAGCAGCGGTGCGCCGACAGTTGGAATCCCTTCATCAGCAGCCTCTGGCTGGGTCGCCTCCTCGCGGTTCACGGCGGCAGCTGGTAGGTGTTTTTCATGTACATAATCCAAACTGCAGGCAGCAGGATAAGAAAAGAGAACATATTCTGCCGGCAGATTTCTGCATTTTAAGTTAATTTAGGCGTCAATAAACTGTTTAAGAGGAGTGATAATAGCGCTCTGATCATCAGCGCTGTGTCTCTCTCCCTGCCAGCTCCCAGATCAGCTTCTCTGATTGGTTGAGGCGGCGCGTCGAGCAGCAAAAATAAAATTTTTCCATCTCGAGCAGCAGCGCGTTTGCGGCGCGTCACACGCGTCAGATGCTTAAACGCCCCCGACGCGCTGCTTCAGCTGCTCAGACGCGCTGCGCCTGCTGCTCAAAACGCGCCGCGGGACCTTTTGCTGCGCCTTGACGCGCGTCAACCATTGACTTTGCATGTAAACTCGCTGCTTCTGTCGCGCCAGCTGCGTTTGCCTGTCTGCTAAGCTCAAAACAACCGCGCCTGGCTTGACGTAGAAACCAGGAGAACAGCTGAGCATATTTACGACAGTGCACTTTTACTTTCGCCCTCTGGGGGGAGCCTTGCTGGAAAATCAACACCGGTTGCATAGTGTACCTTTAAGTGCATAATATCTCATTAACTTAGTCCAAGGGTGTATATATTTAGTAACTCCTTTGGCAAATCCTCTTATTTACCTGCTCCAATTAAGGGCAAACACAAGCATTTTAAGATATATTTACTTATTTTAGATCAGCTTTGGCAGTGAAACTGCTGGTTATGATTTGGACTTATTCATCTTTTTAAGGGGACTGATGGCCTAGTGGTTAGAGCAGTGCACTTGTGCTCTGTGAGGGTTGCAAGTACCCGGTTCAATCCCCACAGCCTGGACTCTGAGCAAAACCCTTAACCCCACACTGCTCCCTGAGCGCCACACAATGGCATCCCACTGCTCCCCAAGGGGATGTGTTAAATGCAGATGGTGAATTTCCCCATTGTGTGATAATAAAGGGATTTACATTTTTATTTATCTTTTTCTGAGCATTGGCACATGTTATCAGGAAGAACAAGACAGTTTTAATCCAATGATAAATGAATGAAATACATTATCTTTACTGATGCTTCATTCTTGATTGTTGACACATTTGACTAAAACCGATCTTTGTTTTAATTATCGCAATATTTTGTGAAAATATCTCCCATGATCAATTCAATTCAGTTTATTTCTATAGCGCCAATTCACAACACGTCATCTCAAGGCACTTTACAGTTCACCAGATCATACAGACTGATTGATTTAAAGTTTTCTATCTAAGGAAAAGCTGTTGATTAAATGTACTCATCGACTCAAAGGCAATCCCTCACACTAAGCATGCTTGTAGCGACAGTGGAGAGGAAAACTTCCTTTTAACAGGAAGAAACCTCCAGCAGAACCAGGTTCAGTTTGAGCGGCCATCTGCCGAGGCCGACTGGGGTTCAAGGAGACAGAAGCAGAGATACAAAAAGCAGCTATAAAAGGCGGCCCCGTCCAGGAAACACACAGCCAGGTAGACGAGCTCCGA